CTTTCTTTCTTTCTTTCTTTCTTTCTTTCTTTCTTTCTTTCTTTCTTCTTTTTTAAAACTTCTTCAGAGTAAATTTTTATCCAAGACAGGTTTTGGGGGGTCAGGTTTTCATGGTGAACTATTAAAAAAGTTAAAGAGTCAAATTAATCAACATAAGGTTTTTCTACTAGAATATATTTGCTGAGTTTAGAATAAGATGAGCTGATTTGCCATCTATGTAATATTTACCCATAATATTTAAAATGTGTATATCCATATAATCAAAATGATAACTGATGAAATTTTTTAAATATTTTAAACAGAGTCTCAGTCAAATCATTCTAATCAGTCTGACAGTGGAGTCTCTGACACCCTACCCACAGGGCACATCCGTTCCCAAAGCACTGTGAGCTCCATCTTCTCGGAAGCTTGGAAGCGTGGCACTCAGTTGGAAGAGTCCAGCAAGGTAATACACTAGTTTTAATTTACATATAAAAATCTGTGATCATCCACTGGTTTAGCTTGTACTCTTTTATTCCCTTATTAGAGTCTCATTTGGCAATATTTCAGTCTTCCTTCTTAGAGGGTCAGCCGATATTATAATAGGGAAACCATCTAGAGTTGTCGAAGATCTTGATTTCTAGTGGCAGTTATTTATGAGTTTAACCAGCAGCTTACATTTTTAAGTTACAGCAACCCCTCCCCTGTTAAGCATAACCAGCTTGCTGGAACAACACCATGTAGTGCCATTGCCCTAAAGTCCCAGAGAAGTTGCTTACAATTCTTATTCATTTTTAATTAATTCAGATCCAGTCCTTATCGTTCATTCTTGAGGTCTATAGACCCCAACAAATTTTCTCAAACTATGTTTTATGCAGAAGGCTAAATTCACTCTTAAAGTTTTGGATTCCTGAGTCTTGGATAATTAATATTCAGCAACATTATTACAAGCTATAATGTTGAGAGTTTTTTCTTTTATATATATTATATATAAAATATTTTTTCTTTTATATATTATATGTTTTATATGATATATAAAATATGTTTTATGTAATATATATGTGTATATATATAAATTAGGATATAAATTAGGAAAATTTCAGACATAAATACAAAGTATTTTAAGAATAATCCCCACTCTCCCCAGAGTCACCTCACACCCCAAGTTCATGTCCCTTTTTTTCCTTTCAATAATTCACTTAGTCCAGTTTGTCCTGCTAATATATACACAGCTGAGCAGCCACCAGGAGCCACACCATTACAGAAAACTGACTCTTTCATTTTCCAGAAGCCGTCAGCTGTCAACTGCTCCCCAGTTAGGAGTAGGGGCTCATGGACTCCTTCCCACTGTCTGCTACAATGCTGACTTGCTTTTGTGCAGGCAACCACAGCTGAGCTTATTAGAACAATGGTTCTGTCATGCCCTGAAGACACTGACCCCTTGGGTCCTTTTCTCCCTCTTGGGGAAAGACCGTGTGATGTAGGTGTCCCGTTTGGCGCCGACCACTGCACAGCCACTTTTTCTCTGCACTTGACCTAGCGGGAGTTTTGTATTAACCCCTATCTACTGCACACACAGACTTCTTTGTTAAAGATTTGAGAGCGACCTTATAGGTTTTCTTAGCTAAGTAGTCCTCCATCAGAGAGCCTCAGAATTCCTGTAGAAAGGATATGTTCTGGCTGTAGTCACTACTTCAAGCAGAAAGGGTATATCCATCATTGAGGAGCCAGTGGCACCCTGGCCAGACTCTTGATTGTTACAGTCATTGTTTTGTTTTCTTATGGTTCTTTTGGCCTGAGTCACAAATACAAACACATTCACAAATGAGAATCAAAAGGAACATTTAAATTTGTCCTCAAAACAGATTTATTACCTAATTTTTATATGTGGTTGATTAACTGGTGTGGGGGTGGGAGGTATAAAAATGGGTAGTTAATAATTGGTTTTAATGACCTAAATTCTTTAAACATTGTTAAAAATCCCTTATCAGAAAATTTTATTAATTCTCTCTTCAATCCTAGAACCTTTTTCCCCAAGTACTGGGTATTGAACCTAGACCTTGCACATGCTAGGCAAACTCTGTCACAGACCTATGTCCCAATCTTTTTTTATGTTTTGAGATAGTCTGTCACACTTAGTTTTTCTAGCTGTCCTTCCGTGTGTAATTCTCCTGTCTCGGCCTTCTAAGTAGGACTGTGTCAACAATCCTAGTTCCATGAACCAATTTAGATGAAACTAAAGCACATACTAGAAACAATATTCTATGTAATTTTACATGTCTGAGTAAAAGAACCTTTGCCTTGGCTGGGGATGTAGCTCAGTGGTAGAGCACTTGTCTAGCATGCACGAAACTCCAGGTTAAATTTCCCACTCACTGCTGTCAAAAAAAAAAAAGTCTTTACCTTAAAAATTATTAAGGGGGCTGGAGAGATGGCTCAGAGGTTAAGAGCATTACCTGCTCTTCCAAAGGTCCTGAGTTCAATTCCCAGCAACCACATGGTGGCTCACAACCATCTGTAATGAGGTCTGGTGCCCTCTTCTGGCCTGCAGGCATATACACAGACAGAATATTGTATACATAATAAATAAATATTTAAAAAAAATTATTAACAGTGAGACCCATGTGCATTTTAAATTATAAAGCTACCTACTTATCACATATGAAATCAAGGAAAACAAAGACTCTGTGATTAGGAAACAGTCTGTCACTGTAGTTTCCGAAAGAGAATCAACCCTGCTATGCAATAGTGTCAGTTTGAATCTTGATCCTGTGTGTTTCTTCTGTTACCTCAGTCTCAGGTGCCACATGAGAAGGCCCGCACAGCTAAGGTCTGCAGGCCTGAAGCAGGCAAGACAGGGTCAAGTTAAAGTCAGGGCAGTTCTCTGAAATACATTAACCTGGGTGACGCCTATAACCAAATCTTACAAACTAATGCTTTTCTTTTCATGTATAATTTTTAGAGAACCATGTGAATGTCCTGATAGGCATTAGAATTCAGCTCTGTGAATGAACACTTCCTAAGTACCCTCAATCTCAATCAGATATCATTTGTGATTGAAAAGAGATGGGTTATTTATTCACAGAAATAAGAGCTCAAAAGGCATTCCCAAAGTTACTAAATCAAAATTCCTTCATTTTCTTATTTCAGAAGTCCTTGAGCCAGAGATTTATATATGGTTGGTTCAGGCAGCAAGCAACCGAATGTAGTCATTTTGGAAGTACTAATACCACCCAGATGGTGTGGTCGGCAGCTCACAGGCAAACCCTAGCTCCTACTTGATGACTTCTTTTAGTTCTATAGAGTTTCTTCTTATTTTCATCTGGCTTTTTCTGTGTGATGCTTTATCTTTTGCTGTAATGTTTACAACACATTTCTTTATGTACTTCCCAGTAAAGCAAATGTAAAGAATGCAAAGAATGCTCCCCTTACCTGCACTGCTGGACTTCTGTGCATGTTGGATGCAGATGTTTCACACAACACGAGTGTGTGTGTTGAGTTCTTTGATTCCTGTGTGACTGTGCACAACTGCTGAGCATTCTCACACTCATGTGTCAGCTTACTAGAATCAAAAAGCTATCCTCCTCACTCCACCAGGATTCCTTACCCTAGGATGGCATCTGCGTGACGTGGATGCAGTCATGGACTGAAGGTGAACTCTTGTCCCAGGAGGACCTAGGGCAGGGTTTGTGAAAGTCCAATTGCCAAGGTCAGAAATCATATATCCTGTTACCACCCAAATGACTTTACAATAGGAGCTTGTTCCTAGACTATTTATTGGTCAGTATAGCTGTTAAAAGAATATTGCAGGATAAAACAAGTTTTCTGCATCCTTGTTACCTAGAGAATCAGATTTTAACCTTTCTGACATTGTCTGTCTTTATAATCACCAACTGCTGCATCCTCTTCATGCATGTCCTAGATTCCTTGCTTTTAGTTTGATAGAGTCAAAGCTTACCTCTGTAACTGTTTTGTTGTGTTTTTCTCTCTCCCAATTCCCTTTTATACTTCCTTTTAGGCCAGAATGGAATCTATGAATCGGTCCTACACTTCACTTATGCCCCCTCTGTCCCCTCAAACTAAGACCATCACCCCGTATACTGCCTCACAACCTTCACCCCCTCTGCCTCCTCCTCCTCCACCTCCTCCTCCTCCACCACCTCCACCACCACCACCACCACCACCACCTCCTCCTCCTCCTCCTCCTCTCCCTAGCCAGTCTACACCTTCTGCAGGCTCATCAGCCACCATGTTTGTCAAGTACAGCACAATCACCAGGCTGCAAAATGCAGCTCAGCAGTCAGGGTCCCTGTTTAAGTCTCCGCCACCCCCAGCGATGCAACCTCTGCCTTTGGCTTCACAGTCCCTCAAGGCTCAAATTGTGGTGCCCCCCAATGGAATTATTCCTCCACCCCCTCCTCCTCCACCACCACCAACCCCTGGTTCAGCCATGGCCCAGTTAAAGCCAGTGCCATGTGCCCCGTCCCTGCCACAGTTCTGCTCCCAACCCCCTCCACTAAAGATTCATCAAGTTCATCAAGTGGCACCTCCCATACCCCCACCAGCTCCTCCCATCCCTGCAACTGGCCCTCCTCAAGCACCCCCTAAACCCCTAGTTACCATTCCTCTTTCAGTCAGCACCAAAACTGTACCATCAATAGTGGCACAAGCTGTACCACCCACCCCTGCACCTCCAGTGCCCCCAGCAAAGAAACAGCCAGTTTTCCCCATTTCTCACATTCCACCCTCTCCCCCTGTTCAGCCTGCTCCATGTCCACCACCAACACTACCAAAGCAGCAGAGCTTTGGGGTGAAGCCACCCCCCTCTCCACTGTCCCCCATGCCCTCAGTTGTGAAGCAGATAGCCAGTCAGTTTCCACCCTCTCCCACTCCTCCTGTGGACTCACAGCCCCTAAAACCTCTCCCAGCAAGTGTCACCTCACAGTCCCCTCCTGCAGTGAAAGCAAAACCCAAGTGGCAACCCAGCTCAATCCCTGTCCCTTCCCCAGATTTCCCTCCTCCCCCTCCAGAAAGCAGCCTGGTGTTTCCTCCTCCACTTCCTCCAAGCCCAGCCCCAGCCCCAACCCCACCACCAGTGCCACCCATGGCTTCACCTATCCCTGACAAAGGTGGATCTCCAGGCAAAAAGCCAAGTAAGATGTCCAGCCCTGGGGGAAAGAAACCACCCCCAACCCCACAGCGCAACTCCAGCATTAAGTCTGCCGAGCACCCTGAGCCCAAGCGACCCTCGGTAGACAGTCTAGTCAGCAAGTTTGCACCGCCAGCAGAATCGGGATCTCCCCACAAAGAGACCCCACCTCCTCCTGCAGCACCTCCCAAACCTGGGAAACTACACCTTTCTGGAGTCAATCTTCCTGGAATCCACCAGCAAGGGAGTGTGTCCACAACACCTTCTGTTCTGAGTGGGCGTGGAAATGACTCCGTAGTGGAATTTCCATCTCCTCCATCCGATTCTGACTTTCCACCCCCTCCACCTGAAATAGAGCTTCCTCTGCCCCCTATTGAGATTCCAGCCATATTCTCGGGAAACACCTCCCCCAAAGTGGCAGTTGTTAATCCTCAGCCACAGCTATGGTCTAAAACATCTGTGAAGAAGGCCCCACCCACCCGACCCAAACGAAATGATAGCACCCGCCTCACTCAAGCTGACATCTCTGAGCAACCAGTGATGACCACAGTTGTGCCACAAGTGCCCACCTCTCCCAAATCCAGCCTTAGTGTCCAGCCTGGATTCCTAGCTGATCTTAACAGGACACTGCAGCGCAAGTCTATCACGCGGCATGGCTCCCTCTCCTCTTCACGAATGTCCAGAGCAGAACCCACAGCCACCATGGACGACATGGCACTACCCCCACCACCACCAGAACTGCTGTCTGACCAGCAGAAGGCTGGTTTTGGAGGCAGTCATATTTCAGGCTATGCAACATTGCGAAGAGGACCCCCTCCCACTCCCCCTAAAAGAGACCAGAATACTAAGCTCTCAAGAGACTGGTAGCCACAAGACTTAATATCTATAATCAGTTCTACAATCAGTTTACCTAATCATCTGTGAATCCAGGTGTTCAGAGCCTCCTGATATGTTATTCAGGTAGTGTCCAGCTATATGTGTGTTTGTGTGTATATGTGCTGCCTGTGTGTACACATGTACACACAGCTTTACAGATTGTGTGTATATACGTATGTATACATCTGTGAATGTGTATATATGGAGAGAACTGATTCTATTTATTTCTTTTGCCTCCTAATCAGAAAATAGGGTTTTGTATTTTTGAGTGGAAGAAGACATAGGAGGAGATATGTTGTCACTTATAATTTGTTTATCATACGGATTGGACCAAAATCTAGAAGGTATTTCAAAACTGTCTGTCCATGTGCCACATGTGCATGTGTCATAGAAGAAATAGATGGACAGTTTCTCAGTTTGAGGATATCATGAGAATGTCTGCTATATCTGTAGGGCTTTTTTGTTTTTCCCAGTTGGCTGAATTTAGAACTGCTTAACTGACGCTTAAATACTACATATAAAGGGGCACTTTAGTTCAGGAAAACCTTCAATATACAGAACGGGTAAATGGCGCAGGAAGGGGAAATGCTGAAGACATTGTGGTTGTACATAGGAAAGTCATGGCTGTTCTAGTTGCAGTAGTCCTGCCATGACCCCAGCCACATCTTGAGGTAAGCTTTTTGCCTACAACACAAGAAATATTTAATGCTATAATCCTAACTACTTTCAGTAGTCTTGCAAAGCTTCATCAGTTTGATTTCAGGAGTCTTGCTTTTTTGTAGAATGTCCAGTACACACTGTAATGTACTGCCCCAATTATGTCTTTGGGTCATTTACCTTCACATATAGTGTGTACATTAGTAGACATTTGAATCTGTGGATAGTACAAATATGAAATATACTCCCTGTGCCCAATGCAGTACATCATTAAAAACAAAGTCAACTTCTGCAATGCCTTCTTTACAAGTTGTTCTCCATGAGCGATAAAGACGATAGGAAAATATCATTCATCAAGTTTTAAAGCAAAGAATCCATTTGGGATAGGACTATCATGATCAAAATGAGTTTCCATAATTTCATCCATAGCTACTGGAGCTGCTAAGATCTTTTCTGTTTAGCTTGAGTGTAGGGCTTTTACAGGTAGCCATGTGTGCTGATGGGGCCGTGTCATAGTCCACTTGCAGTGAGCACGCACTGATGGCACTACTATGTTCACACTGTTCTCTGTGCTTTTGGTAATTTTTTTCTTGGTACATGAGAAAAGTGTGTACTTACCAACTTAGAGTGATAGATGCAATGCAATCCTAGTTATTTTAAGCAAGAGAATAAAGACTGGCCATCCCACTTTTTACAAATGAGCACATCTTGTAAAGAGCCTGTGACTGTTGTAAAGATAACCAGCACCAAATGAAGAAATCTTTTGGTCCTGTCCCTCAAGCAGAAAGTGACTCTAATGAATCTGGGTAAAGAAGATAAAAGTCTTCACACTGGGTGTCAAGTTTCACTACACTAATTTCCATTAAGGAACCACATCATAAAGATGTGTAAGTGGCACCTCCCACACATCTCCAGCCACTCTTCAGATAGCCATGCAGTTAGGGGGGAAAAGACTAAAAGTCATTGTGCTTTTTAAAAAACCCTACTTAGATTTTTTTTTAATCTTTGAAACTGCTCACCAAGTATTTGTGTGCTTACATTTCTTATTATGAAATGATCTTTAACTGCATTGTTAGTTTCAACATGTACAACAAATGTATTTAATCTGAATACAGATGCCAAGCCACACTGAATTACTTCCTCATGCAAATCAACCTGCAGTTCTCCATTCAATCTACAGACAATCAAGAGTGCAGATCAGTTATTCCTGGGGTTTATCTCTAGGGTTTGTGTTTTCTTTTTAAATTAACCCAGCTAGACAACTTAAGATTTCCTTGAGTGCAAAAATATGTACCTCCAATCTAGATTGAGCCCTAAATCAACAACCTTCATTTTTTTTCAATGTGGACTCCATGGGAACTCCCAAGTCCATCCTGAAGCACTGCTTCTGGTTTTATTTTCTTGGGAGAACAGATACCTTTGATTGAATACTAGTAATGCCAAGAAAACGAGGGGGTGGTCCACTGTCCATTCTAACTTATCATATGACAGCATGCAGTTTCTTTATAGTTCTCCAGAGACAGAAATAACTGTTAATAAAAAAACAATAAACCAAAGTGCCACATTCCAATTTTTTTTTCTCACTGCTTAGTGCTGAGATGTAGTTTTCTTTCTTTTTCTCTGGTGTGTTCTCGGACAAGACCTACTGCCAGCCAACACTAGTTCTGTGCCTTCTTCCACCGCCCGTAGCTCAGCAGCTCAGCTCACACGGCCTTTTCAGGCAGTGAGAGGCCTGTGGAGGCTGCCTGGACATTAACAGTGAACAGTGAAGGACCTTTGCTCCTGAGGGCAGACACAGATAGGTGCTTTTCAGAATTGGTTTGGTGACCTCAATTTTTATTATACATTAATTTCAAGTCTTAGTACTTAAAGTTTGGGCACCAACTCTGAAGCAGCCAAACTTGTTCTCAATAAAATGACCTAACGGTGATCCACAGGTGCTGGCCTGAGTATACTGTATATTAAGTCTCCCCAGCTTGGCGTTTAGTCCCAAAAGATTTAATATGCTTTCTCTCATCTTTTACCCACTGTAATTCTCATTTGGAGGAAAAAAGGTCTGTTTCAGACATCTACTTAACTGTTAACACTTTTTTTTCCAATGTCTAAACTTTTTAACATAAGAAAGATGGCTGGATCTTAAAGATTATCAAAAAGACCTATTTTCATTAGACAATGAAGAGAGATAACAATGCTTTTTTTTGTTTCTGTTTTTGCTTTTTCTTAAGTCGTCCAAAATCAAGGTGCTCTTACCCACTGATGGTGTATCTTGCAATGGGCTGAGAACTGTTTTGGGTCTATTCCCTGTATTGTACTTTGGTAAATTAGAATTGAGAGGTCACAGTAATTCTAACAGGGTAACAACTCTAAGGTCTAGATCAACAGAATCCTGGGTTTAGGAGCTGGGCAGCAGTGTGAAGTGGTTCCTCAGACTTCCAACAGAACATGTTGTCACCTTCGCTACTCAAATAAAGCAGTTTTATGTTACAAACACAAGGGCAGTGTTTAAGCAAATAAACCCATTTAAAGCATTTTTCGTATCACCAAAACTAGCAATATAACTGATGTAATTCCAGATTTTACACCAGTTTAGAACAATTAAAACAATGCCCTGTATGGTTGTGTGATAGCTTTCGATAAAACTGGGATAATTATTTTTGTTTATACATGAAGATGGCTTTTTTTTAAAGAAAAAAAAGTTCCTTTCAAATTACAAAAATCTTTTGAACTGTTAATTTTTTAACTTTTTATTATCTGTTATATGTGACCTCTATCAAAGTTGACCCAAAGGGAAATGCAAGGTGAGGGGGGGCCCCACCATCTTTCTAGATGGTCCTTTGAAAACCTAGTGAAAACATGTTTAACACTCTACCATCAAAATTACAAGTGTGCAGTGCCCTTAGGGGTTTATATGTAAAAGACAACTAAAATTTAAGTAAAGAATTGCTTAATGAAACAACTATAATGTGTTGGAAGGCAGGGGACTCTGGTTTGCTCTGAAGTAAACCGTCCTAGACAGCTGTCTGCTATAACCCCCGTGCTTGAACTCGTTAGAGGAATAGCATGTAAAAACAACAAAAACCACCAAGTAAACTTTGAGGTGCTAATGAAAGAGGGGACAGGTAAGTATTTTTGAAGTTTTGGCAGAAATGGAGGGGGATGACTGTCTTGTATTACAGGAGAAGTTCTCATCCACCTAAATGGAGTCTGTTTTCTACCAAAGATATTTAGAGAAGTGGCTCAAGTCAACACTGAGTTCTGTTTTAAGAGCTGGCCAGATTTGGGAGCATGTTGTTCTTAAGCTATGAATTTCAAGCAAGTGATTGTTAAAGCATCAACTTCTTAGGAAGACAAGGGAAACAGGGAATACATTTTTAGAAACTATCCATTCGTTAAATTTGTTACAATTTAATTCCAAAAATGCTGGTTTTCATAATTCCACCTCCTAGTTTTTCCTGTATTTGTAAATAGTCCCTCCTAGAAAATAAGCATTAATTGGAATGTTTGAAATGACTTTGCTTAGTTTTAATATCAGCCACTTAGTAAACTCTTCCTCCAGAGCAGAGATGAATAAGGTAAACTATGATTAGATTGTGCTAAGTGTTGTAAAAATACTATTTACTGTCTTCAATGGGTTGTTGTCTTCTTTCCCTGTTTTTTTATTTTTATTCCAAAAATGGAGTCAAGGCTCACTCTGACTTCTAGCTGTGGGAATTTTGTCATGATACAAACAATAGTATACTTTTTTAAGGCATGAAGATAACAAATGTACCAGAAAGGTCATTATTCAAAAGATTATGCACAATTTGTTAAAGATGAAGTTGTGGTTTTCTTTCAGCCTTTATTATTTTCTTCTGCATAAATGTACACTCATTTCATCATGTGCCTTGCTCCCTGATTGTGCAAAGCTGTATGTACACACACACACACACACTACACACACACATATATATGAGAAAGATATATTCATTCAGTACTACTGATGATGTTTTTTCTTCTGCTGGATTAAGTTTCTGAGTTATAACTTGCCACTTGTCACAAACTATTGTAACGGCTTGGGACAGTGGTCGGATAGACAGAGTAAATTTGTTTTTGTAGTTACGTATTTTATGTCATCAAGCCCAATCCTTAATTTTAAAAAAAAATTAAATAGACTCCATTTAAACACAAGGATTTTGAGTGCTTTGGATGAATACCACTAAGAACCTGGTTTTATAGGACTGGAAAGATGACTCAGATGTTAAGAATGCTTTCTGCTCTTCCAGAGGACCAGAGTTCAGTTCCCAGCACCCACGCGGGCAACTCAAAACCACCTATAACTCCAGCTCCAAAGGATCCAATGTCCTCTTCTGGCCTCCAAAGGCACCTGAACACGTGTGGCATACATACATAATAATAAAAATAAATTCTTCAAAGAACCTGGTTTTAAAGCTTGTTGTGTCAGGATAAATTAAGTGTTGTAGGTGAATTAACTACAGTTCAGAGTGTTTTGCTTCTTTACAAGTCATTAAATATTACTAATTAGGGAGTGATTAAGGGCTGATGAATAAAGGTGTTTGCCAAGAGCCCTGATAATGGGAGTTCAAATCCCTGGAACTCAGGTGGGTAGAAAGAACCAATTCCCACAAGTTATCCTCTGCCTGTGTACACATATGCAATAAATGTGTAAAAAAAAAATCTATCTTAAAAGTGGTGATAGCCTTTTATGAGTGGGTTTTGTAGATTAAAAGTAAGGTGGGCAGTGGTGGTACACACCTTTACCAGCACTCAGAAGGCAGAGGGAGGTGGATCTTATTGAGTTCAAGGCCAGCCTGGTCTACTGATGAGAGAGTTCCAGGACTGTCAGGGCTACACACAGAAGAAAACTTTGTCTTAAAACCACTCCCACCCCCACAAAATTGTGTGTGTGTCAGAGAGAGAGAGAGAGAGAGAGAGAGAGAGAGAGAGAGAGAGCCTTCTTGAGTATATGATCTACAACTTCAGAATGTTGTGAACTAGCATGTGGGATTGGAAACCAAACCCAGGTTCTCTTAAGTGCTGTTAACTGTTGAGCCATTTCTCTAGCCCTTGATCTTTTTATTTTGTATTGAGTGAGTTCAACTGGGTAAAAACTAATGCCAAAAAGGATCCTCCTTCCCTACTCCTGCAATGACTGGAAGTACAATTACGTACTGGGACTGCCATATCACAAGTGGATATGTTTAGTTACAGATTACAAATCACCTTACTATTTATCATCACACTATAATAAAAGTTATTCATCATCTGTCAGTGCTACCAGTTGTGAACCCTTTTATTTATAGAGAAATCTTTTTCTTGAAAACATCCTTTGAAAATGATTCAGTTGAGCTTTTCCCATGGAACTGACACAGGCAGTGAGGACTATGGACTTACTTGTAAGGCAGCTAGTGTCCTTACTCTGGAGATTGCCCATTTATTACTTAGACAAATCACTAGAAAACTTCTGTAGTTAAATTATCATCTGGGATCTTAACTAACACTTGTGTTTTTAATCAACCTCATTCCAGTGATGGAAAAATTTACACTTAACACTTAGGTATATTTGGAAAAAGCAGTTTATAATTGAGGGATTTCAGATACCAAACTTATTAAAGGTTCGACACTATTCAAAGTCTTAGGTAAATAAGTAACTGAATAGTACCATCAATATTTAGAACCACGTTAGAAAGAAGTAGTGAATACATAAATAATTCTGCCAAGACACTGGGATATACTTCGTGTGATTTTTATTTGGGTCAAGTTCTTAGTACACAGCAGTAATTATTCCAATACAATTTAAAAATTAAGTGAATGTCCCTCACTCTTCTGGAGGTGCTCAATAGCGCACATAAGGAATGTTACTGGCAATACTTGCCCACTCAAGTTGCCTGAATGGTTTTTACTCAGTACCACCAACTCTCTTGGAGCTATAAGGTGTTAACTGGCCAGATCATAAACTGTTTACATTCTTTTTGTAAACCATTTCGTTAAGACAAAAAGTACATGGACACAAAATATGATTAAAAACTGCTTTTCCATAGAATTCTGGACTTGCAAAAGAGGCTCCAGTTTAATGTGAAAATAAGTTTTTTGTCTTACAAAAATGTAACATATTTATTAGCAAGGATCATTTACACAGCTATGCCTGTCATTTCACTTGATTTTTTTTAAATAGAGATTCTCAATTTAAAAAAGAGCATAAAGTAAACTTAATAGCAAGCTCAATGCCTCCATTCAGTGACTTTGTAAGGCTCTCAATAAGTAAGGCTGTGTACTGTGTTGTGCTCTGCTCTGCTCCTGCCAGCGTAGAACTAAATATAATGCATTCTTACTACACACAGCTGTATGGAAATGTGTTTACAAGTAAAGTTTTAGAAGGGAAATGATTATTTCTACTCAGGTTGCACTTAAGCTTGAACAATGTGAATACTTGGGTGGTTATTTGTCAAAACATGGCTTATCTTTTCAAGTGTTATCCTAAAAACAAGAACTGTTGCTTTCTAAAGAAAAATAAAGCACATTTAATTACAACAGTTTGTACACTGGAGAGAAGACTGAGTTCTAAGACTAAATAGCTGTTTCTCTGAAACAAAGCATTTGACCTCATTGTTAAAGTGACTGGAACAAGCATTTTAAAGCTTATGAGTTCCAAAATTCTTTGATTCCAAATAAACAGTGTTAGAGAAATGTCATCTCCACACACATCAGTTCCTGGTCAAATGTATTCAGAAGTAAACAACTCCCATTCATTTCAAAGATTTAGCAATCAATCTATCACTTCTTCACCAAAGCCCTTTTTAGAAGTAAAGGCGGCTGTCAGGACACACCATGTTCTCTCCATAAGGACAGAGGGTAATAAGGTAAAACAAGAGTTAGGCTGCAGGATAACTCTGCAGGACCTTTAAAGAAAATGAAAAGTGAAAAATAAAAGCAAGCTATCGTTTTGATGCCCCATGCATAAGAATCATCATAAATCTGTTAATGAGTCCAACTACATTGCAGATATCAACTGTAAAGATGCACAAACCAGTCTCTAGCTAGGCAATACACAGCAGTAGTAAGGGTAAGGAAGATGTCACCCAGTGGCTTTTAGGAACAGCAAAATCAGCAGTCCTGTACCGATCCCAAGATAGGAACAGCAGGTGCCTCTTAGGAAGAGAGAAGGAAGTAACCAAAAGGAAAATACTGTAGGAGACATCTTTAAAAATTCATATTTATTCCAAACACAGCAGGCTGAAATCTCTTGGATCTAGATTTCAAAACATTGGCACTATTTTTGTTTCTAATTTGCCTTGGCTATAAGGTCCAGCACAAGAATGTATTTTCACTCAGATCCACTGACCTTCAAATATTAATAGCAAAAAAGAGACAAATATCCAGTTTTTTTTAAGGGTAATCAGAAATCTCAAGGAAGACCAAACAAAGCCTTAAAAGCACCCGTGACCTGGAAAAGCAGCAAAGTTTCAACATTCGTTTAAAATTTCTAATATCAACTGTATTTTAGTTTATGGGCAAATAAATGGGAAAATTTACAATAAAATAAGAGATAACCTCACAGTATTAACAGCATGCAATCTACAAAATATTACATACATTAAAAGTCTCCAATTACTGTAGGCCTGGTTCATTGTTACAGAGTATCCTTCCAAGACAATTTATAGAATTCAAAATTGTAAAAATTCAAAAGATGAAAAAAAATCCAACAGATCGCTTTTTTTGTTTTTGTAAAATCGCATCAGTACTCAGTAATACAACTGGGAGGAATCAGCTGACCTGTGGATTCCCCCAGTGCAAGTATCCAACACAAAGTATTCTTGGAACCTTAACTCAACAGGTCAGCTGTGTTCCTTCTGTGACTCCACAAGCTAGCTGTTTCCTGGGTTTCCAAACATCGTCTTATTAATCCATTAAGCTTGCTCAACAAATGGCTACTTAAATAAATAATTAGTGCAACTATTTTCAAAAGTTTCCACGTACCAATACAAGCAAAGTTAAACATATTCATATATAGTCTTGCTGCGTCCATAATGGAGCGAAAGGTTCAGAGGACATTCAGGGACATTATCCTGAAGATAGTCAATACGACCTAGCAAAAGCATGAAGTGGAACGTATACTAGAAGCATGTTAAAGATGAATCCAAAGTGTTCAGAAACATCTAAAAGTATAATGGCTGAAGTATGTTTTAAAAAAGAAAAGAAAAAAAAGGTTGATGCCTAATATTCTAATGATGCTCCTGCTTATAATCCTAGTTTGGGGAGGTTAAAGCAGAAGGAACACCATGTCTGAAAACAAACAAAATCCTGCAATTTTAAAGCAAAAAAAACAAGTCTTAGGCAAGAAACTGGTTGAGTCTCAGTTACACAGCAAAACTCAGATAACAGATCTCTAAGTGGAATTAGCTTCTGTCTCCATGACCTGCTTTTTTTCCCTTCTACAACACTTACTCATTTTTCAACCAAATTATTCTAGCATCACTATCCAGCACATTCAAGGCCTGCATCTTAATTATACATAGCGATTATTTCCTCTTTTAACTCTTCAGGTAAAGTTTCCTGGTCAGATTCTTTCTGGCCTATTCATGTAAGAATAGGTAAGAATCCACAGGGAAGCTTTGGTTCTAACCACAAACTGACCCACCATGGTATTCACCTACTGGGCAGCAACACCTCTAATTACAGATGTGATTGTTAAAGCCACCAGATGTACAAACACCACTAAATTTAAATTAATTGTAGATGAGGGAGTTGCCCATTATTTCAAAATCATACTGGCTCATCACTGTGACTGGGTAAGTATTTTGTCCTACAAGTCTTTTATACTACACTTGAGTCTGAATCACGAGGTTCAGATCTTCCTAGGATTGTCTACTTTAGAGTCCAATCATACCAAATCATGGGAATATTTACTGTTCTAGAGCTGAGAAAATAAGAAAAATGGCTCCACATCAGCTAACACTGCCACTGATAGCAGGCCAAGAGCACAGTAGCACCTGTCACTCCCAATCCAGTGACTGTCAAGAGACCTGACACCAAGTCTCTTCTAAAAATAAGAAAAACAATGTTTTTAAATATCAGAAGAACAGGAACAACTGGTCTGACTTCCTGACCTAAGACCTTCCTGAAGGAGCACTTAAGCTCTTCCCTTCAAAGCCTTAGGTAGCTTTGTGTCCAGTTTCACACATCTACCTCAGTACAAGTCTCGATCACATTTTTTATCAGGTTCACCGGCTGTTATCAGCAATGCAGCCTCATGCAACAGTAAATTAAAATCAAACTGTGGTGACTGGGAGTGTGGAAATGTTTGGAGACTCACATTTTGTCATCCTTATAATCTACAAACAACAGGATGCAAGGGAGTTCAGTATTAACTCACCTAGCACACTCCAGTGTTAAGAGAACACAGGATTTACAGTGTTAAAAACAGCCTTTGAAACAATCCAAAAGTAGTTAAATACGGTATTTAAACAGTAATTCCTTCCTCTCCACATGAAAGTAAGGGGCAAGGGTGTCCACTGGACCATGAGACTAACCCCAAGGCAGAGGCAATGAATATCCAATGTCACAGATTCTGCAGGAAGAGAAATTCAAGGGTGTACAGTATTCCTGAGAATGATCCCAGACTTTTTTCAAGCCAGTCTTGGTCTGATTTGTTTTAGCTATATGTTCTTGTTGTTATGCCTTCTATAGAATGAGAAATGGTCACATTTTCAATCCAGACAGTGTCGTGCAAATAACGGCAAGAAGATCCATTTGTTCAGACTCGAATTTGATTTTTTTGTTTTTAATACTAGGGGATGAACCAAACATAGAAAAAAGAAATAACTTCATCATTTGTATACTTCATTTGTTTCACTGGGAGGAAATTCCCAGGGCCTCTAGCTAATCTGGGAAGACCTGACTTTCTGAGAGGGAAGCACAGCTGTGCTGAGCTTTACTCTGAATAATGCATGATGGACTCAACGTAATTCCCGGGGAAGAGCCCAGTCACTCCATTCATTACTCCCTCATACCAACCATCGTCATTCTTCTTGATGACATAAATAATGGCTCCTTCCTGAAAGGACAGCTCATCTTCCTTGTCTTTTGTATAATCATAAATTGCCACAACTAGGGGGAAAACAAGATAAGATGTGAATGAGAATACCATTCCTAGAAAGACAAAGCCAAATAAGCACTCATACATAGCAACTTTCTAAGCATTACTAAAAAACATGAATATAAATTTTAATCAATTCAATACAATCAAACATCCTTTTCTAGAAAAAGGTTCTAAATCTAGTATAAATGGCAAAAAAACAAAAAAAAAACCCTCATGTTTAGTTAAACTTACCCTTCAATAAAAAAATCAACTGCAGAGAAGAAATCTAAGGATCATGAAAGATAGCTATTCATTTAAACTTATACTGAGGCACCATATTGTGTAAAAACAAATGTTTATATCTAAATATTACACTACTGTTTTGAGATATATTATCAGGCAACTGAGAAATGAGACAGGCTAAAGGAATAGCAGGGCCACGTCTCCTTTTCTGGACTCTGCCTGTTGGTGAATGAGGACTAAATTCTTACAACTTAAATCTACTATACATACACTTTTTCTTTCAAAACATAAACTGCATTATTTCCAATTTAATACATCCACAATAATAGAGTGAAGAAAGCCAGTACACCTGTACATTCCTCTATGATTTTTATGGGTTAAATCACCTTTATCTCTCAGATACTCTCTAGTTCCTAATATTACATCTACCCTCAAGAATTGATAAAATGGGATGTTAACTCACATCCACTTAAGAATTAGTCTTTGTTCCAACACCCTGTATTTTTTTGCATATCACAAAGAATTTTTTTTTTCAAAAAAAAAATCTTCATTTGGGTCAGCAAGATGGTTGGTGGGTAAAGGCACTGCTGCCAAGCCTGAAGACCCAGTTCAATTCCTAGGACCCACATATCAGAAGAGAATGTGATGTAGGTGTTGATTTCATTGGTTAATTAATAAAGAAGCTGCTTGGCCTGATAGGTTAGAACATAGGTAGGCAGGGAAGACAGAACAGAATTGTGGGAGAAAGAAAGCAGAGGCAGGCAGTCGCCATGACTCTCCTCTCCGAGACAGACGCAGGTTAGGATCCTTCCTGGTAAGCCACCACCTCGTGGTGCTACACAGATTATTAGAAATGGGTTAGTTCGATAGGTAAGAGTTAGCCAATAAGAGGCTACAGATAATGGGCCAAGCAGTGTTTAAAAGAATACAGTTTCTGTGTAATTATTTCGGGTAAAGCTAGCCGGGTGGCGGGACGCAGCCCGCCGCTCCTACTACAAGAATGGACTCCCACACACTGTCCTTTGACCTCTAACATGGCACTCACACATGTGTGCATAATATGTACATACCCACACATATAAATAAATGTAGTTTTTAAAACTTAATATCTCCAGCTGTTTTCCTAAGCATGTACTGTAACTTGTCTTAAAACATGAGAGCTGGGATGTATGCCAGTAGCAGTGCCCTGGGTCCTATGTTTCTGTTCCGTTTGAGTAAAAAAATCTATTCGCTTCCCTCATACATTCTATTATTCTATTATTGGGGTACATTGAGGACATCAAGCCTAACTTAGAAGAGTCAATATTGTGTTTCTCAAAATATCACTAAATGCCTAAAAACAATTCAGTGTAAATTATATGTCAAGTTTAGGTATAAGAAATTTAGACTCAAAGTATTGCCAGCCAATCAATATTTTCTAGTTTTTTTTAAGAAAAGGTAACATTCTTAGTACTTACAAAAATGGACCCAATAAAAAGTAATACAGAAGATAATTATATTTATACTTTGTAGCAACAGAGTAATTTAGTACACAAAGTTATTGCACTCAATGTATGCATCCTTTAAAATAAAGAAATTGGAGGTTATGGATGTAGGTTGGTGGTAAAAGACCCAAGGTTCAGCGTACAGCAGAAAGGAAGAGAAGGGAGGGGAAGGGAAGGAAAGAATTGCCTCAGAAAGAGTTAATAGCAAATATGAGTTCATGGCTCTAGTTATAGTAGCTTAGGAGACCCTATTTTTTAAGGGTCAAAATTGGTAATCGACTAAAATTTTTAATTTTCCCAAACAATGCGTTTAAAATTACCCATTTTCATTCCAGGGAAACAGACGTATATAAAACATATATGTTAGACATCTGGCTATTTCTGTGTAGTTGTAAGCAAAAAAAAACAAACAAACAAACAAAAAACCAAAAAAAACCCTAATGGTGCCTGCTATTTTCTCTCAATGTTTCTAGTACTAACATGAAAACACTGTAAAATCCAAGGACAGCACCCCAGTGGAGTGTACTATAAGAAACACTTTAGCTAAGCAAAATGAAACATTTCATTTTAAATTTATATGAACAGTGTTAAAGACCAGAAGAGGGAAAGAAAACAGGAGGAGGAAGGAGAATTCAAGAGGGAAGAAGGTGGAACAAAGAGATGGTTCAACTATCTTCTCTCATAAAGATAACAAACATCACATACTGAAAACTGGAAATATTGCTCACACATCTGTTCCCAATACAGCACAAGGACTAGACATCTCTAAACAGATTCATATTCACCCAGTAATAAGTATAACAAATATACATTTGAAGGTAAGTAAGAACGATCTGGAGAAGTATTAATAAAGGCGACAAAGACAATATCAACAATTGGGAAGCCACTAAAAAAAAAATTAGAAGGTAACCAAGTTACTCATCTCCATATGTGTTTGTATTATTTTGTTGTGGACTGAGGTGATTTTACTTACATGGAGAGTGAAGGCTTGTCATAAGGCAGTAAAACCCTGTCCAAGATATTTTGGAACTGATGTACATTCTGCCCTGAGGTAACCAAAGTTGATTTTGTCATTACCACTAATAAATTTAACTTCTTAACAATACAATCTCAGTTAAAAGAAATTTCAGAACTTATTGTGGATGGTGCTTCTATGAAAACAATACCCCTTTGTTAATGAAGCTATGTTTCTTCTGCCCTCACCAGGATAATGAAACTCCATACAAAAGTAACTAATAAACCTCCTGGTCCTTTTAAGATCCCTAGTCTTCTCTTCCTGTACTGCTTGGCAATGATTACCTATGCTCCTCTCTTGACATCTCCCTCCAGTTTCTACCAACAGTGTCTTCTATTTCTCTTGAGTTTTGCTGAATTTCTACATAAGCCAGGAAACCAGGAGTTTGTCTTGCCTTCCCCTAACACTTTCCCTATAAAATTCTACTCCATGAATCTCTGAACTGAAGCACTTCCTGTTGTGGGAATTCCGGCCCCATGGTTATTATCCAGTCATGTATCCCCAGAGAAGACCACACCCATTGGACCAAGCCACCCCAACATGAACCAAATTCCCACAACACTTCCTCATCACTATGGTCACTGTCCTCACCAGCCTGTCAACAGTACTGGAAGCAGTGTGAGCACTGACTTTTAGACTCTGCTTGACTCCTATGCACGCTGCTTCCTGATGATGTTATGGTCAACAATCAATCAAGTAATGGCTCTTGGTTCCCTTGTACCCTTCCACTTAAAAAATACAAAAAAAAATCTGGATGACAGGGAAAAAAGACATTCAAAAACAACTGACCTTTACTAAGTCAATCTTTCTGAAAGTCAAATTGATCTCGTCTACCTTTCTGCAGGCCTTAAAATGGAGATATGAGCTAACACATCCTTTAAAAAAAATGCTTTTAAAAACAGTATTATTTGGATTGTACCAGGTAACTCTGAAAGCTCTGAAATATCTGAGAAACAATGTGCTTTGCGAGCATTTCCAAGTTCTACATTTACAACACTGAATTCTAGTAAAGAGAGCGCAGAAGCTGGCAAATCACAAAGCTTAGGACAGCGGGAGAGGGGTAAGCGACACAGTTCAAATCTCAACTCTCACGCCTACTTAATTTCTACTAAGCTTTTTTTTTTTTAACTACTTTGTGGGAATTACAATAGTTCTCACATTTGCTACCTGAAAGTACTGTCACATTAAACGTGGTGATTCACACACAAAAAAATAAATCATTATTAGTTTATTAATAAGTTTTGTGCTGTGATGGGCACAAAAAGAACGCATAAAAATACCTGTCAGTCTGGGTGTTAAGGTATTTAATCCAGTACTTGGGAGGCACAAGCAGGTAGATCTTGGAGTTCAAGGCTAATCTGCTCTACACAGTAAGTTCCAGGGCAGTTAGGGCTACACAGTGAGATCCTGTCGCAAGCAAAATAAAACAAAAATTTGCCTCTACCCAAGTTAAGTCAGAATATACAACCCCTTCTTGATAACTACACTAATAAACAAGGAACTAAAATGAAACTTATGCTATGGTTGTGGTGGCCACAGCCTTGGGACCATACAGGGAACTGCAACAAACTGTTTCAGTTGTTTTGTGAAAAGAAAATTCTGGTGGGCTTTTGTTTGTTTTTGATTTTGTTTGGGGGGGGATTGCCTGTGTTTTTGTTAGACAGAATCTTGCTGTCTTGCCAAGGCTAGTCCTGAACTCTTGAGATCAACTCTGATCTTCCTTTCAAACTCCCAATGAACTGGAATAAGAAGCACAAGGTAGGATCAGAGAATGTAACTGAAGGAGGAAGACAAGCTTCCAAGGTCTCCAGTGTGCACTGGCTTGAGAGCCAGGCATTAAGGCTTGAGATAGGAAAACAAGCCCTTAAGCAATAGCCTCAACATTAATTCACAAATAAAAGACCCAACCATAAACCAAACACTGAATAGTTCTTTTTGTTTGCAGCAAGGGTAAAGAAGTATTTAGTTGGCCCTAATGTTTCTGGTTTGGGGTATCTGAATTTTTATTTTTTAAAAAATAAAATTTTTAAATTTTATTATTTTTAATTTTATTAAAATTTAATTATTTAAATTTTATTAAATTTTATTGCACCCTGAGGTGCAATCCTTTTGTTTCTGCCACCTGAGAGCTGGGATTACAGATCTGTGCCACAACACCTTAATCTTTGCTTTGAAAGACTTGAATATTAACAGAACCTAACCTTAGAAATATCGGGCATATTCTTTTAGACTTTAAAGAATTAGCTGAACATAAAACTTTCTCTTGAAAGCCTCTTCAGATTTTTAC